GCTGCGGCCTCTCCCGTTGCGGAGCACAGGCTCCGGACGCGCAGGCTCAGCGGCCATGGCTCACGGGCCCAGCCGCTCCGCGGCATGTGGGATCTTCCCGGACCGGGGCACGAACCCGTGTCCCCTGCATCGGCAGGCGGACTCTCAACCACTGCGCCACCAGGGAAGCCCTCTTCACCTATTTTTGTTAGTGGAAAACAATTGATAATTGCTAAAGGAAATAAAATAATCCCTAAATGTAGGAAATTTCTTCTAAAACTGAAGTGAAATAATTAACATTGTAGTATTTCCTGATAATTTTGTTTCTGTTAACTATCAAAAGAAAAGTTATCAGGATATTTACTAATAAAGGGGTTTGGTCAGCTCTATTGTTGTGGTATGATTTTCTGAAAATAAATTCAGAGAGAAATAACAATAAATGAGACTCAGAGGTAGTGGTATTAGTTCATCTTATGGTTAAGCTACTTTTTCCATTACTGTAGGTACCTTTGAGTATTTGAAATTTTTAAGTACTTAATGCCCTTAGTCAAAGTTATCCAGCTTCCTGATGTCCAGAAGTGTAACGGTTAAGTAACAATATTAGCATAGGAGTGGACTTCATGGGATTGTAAGAATGATGCAGCTTTTGTCATCACCAGGGCCAAACTCCTTTTTGTGTCACTGCCACAGCTGGCAGCACAGTGTTCGGGGCCTGCGACCCACTCCACGACATCGCAGATATTTGTGAGATGCACAAACTCTGGATGCATGTGCATGTAAGTCACGTCCTTGAGTCTGGATCATGATTCACCTTTTTAAAAAGATGTATCCTATGAATAGTCCTTAAAATTTTTTAATTGACATTGCAGGCAAGACAAAAATTTCTGTAACTCTAATTTTTATAAAGAATAAATATCAAGAAAGAATAGTCTTATTTGCATAAATTATCTTAAATTAGACTTAATACACTATCATGGAATGAGCTACAAACGTATCTAGTGTTTAAAAAAAGTCTAAACCTCTATTAATATTCAACCAACAATTTAGAAAATCAGTTTAAAGAAATAGTTAAAACAATTTTAAATCAAAAGGACTTAGCCCATTACTCTAATATACGTTTCTTAATTAATAGCTATTATGGAAATCAAAAGTTTTGATGCTATTAGTTTGGTACAGTGACTTTGGGCAAAAATGTCTTTGGCTTTGACTAGAGTTGGACAAATTTAAAGTTATATAATATGGTAGATATGTTAATTTTTCTGTAGTATTGCCAAATCTGATTCCAACTTTTAAAAATTTCTGTCTCTGGAAATTACACAGAAGGTATCTCTTTGAATTAATTAGAAAAAAAACTTTACTATGTCATGAATAGACAATGAAAATTAATAGGAAATTTTTAAATGCATTGTTCTTCTAAGTAGGATAATTATAGCCAAGTTTATAATTATCTTGAATAACAATTAAATCTTCATCAACTTTTGAAATAAAATTAACATAGGAAAAAGCATTCAGTGCTATGTAAAAAGAAATAGAGGGCTTCCCTTGTGGCGCAGTGGTTGAGAGTCCGCCTGCCGATGCAGGGGACACGGGTTCGTGCCCCGGTCCGGGAGGATCCCACATGCCGCGGAGCGGCTGGGCCCGTGGGCCATGGCCACTGAGCCTGCGCGTCCGGAGCCTGTGCTCCACAACGGGAGAGGCCACAACAGTGAGAGGCCCGCGAACCGCAAAAAAAAAAAAAAAAAAGAAATAGGAACACAAATCCTTTGTATCTGTTACAGGCAGCTTGGGGAGGTGGATTGTTGCTGTCCAGAAACCACTCCTATAAACTCAGTGGCATTGAAAGGTGAGACCCGGGCCATTGCTTGTGCAAGCGAAAGAACCTATTTACGCTTCTATTTTCTTTCATTAGACGGTGAGCACTAACTGGGGCTGTTTTGTCACCTAGGGCCAACTCTGTGACCTGGTATCCACATAAACTCATGGGTATCCCCCTTCAGTGCTCTGCTATCCTGACTGGGGAAAAAGTAAATAATTTCTATTTTCAAGTAGGGACATAATGGACGTCTTGGTAATGATTAGCTTCACTGTGAATGTTCAAAACCAAAATAATTGTGGCCTCATTGAATTAACGTAGTGCAGCACCATTTGCCCTGTTGAAGAAAACTGATCCTTCCCTTTTGATCTTTTTATTTTATGATATAGTCCTTTTATTTAAGTTAAAATATTGCAATTATTTTTTCCCATTCAAATACTAACTGCTTTCTTAGGGCAAGTTTGAATTGCTCTTTAAAAAATCTAATTAAGATATTCAACTCTTCTTATTTCTTTGAACCTGCCTTCTCTGTCATAGTGCAAGTTTTCATCATCTCTGATTGGAATTGTTTCCCCTAAATATCTTTCAGCTTTTAGGTAGTCCTTCATCTATGACCAGTGTCATTTAGCAGGGAAGATGGACCTGAGTGTTAACTCATTCATTTTCAAATCTTTGCTCTAACATGTATGAGCTTTGTGATCTCTAACCTCTGCTATACTCTCCAACTTATCTATTACAATTCCCTCTTTATTCCCTTATAAATTATCACCAATTAAGCAAGAATTGAAGGATTATAGGTCTACAGTCCCTTATTTACAATTTTAAAATTTAAAGACATTCTGAACAATTAATTTTTTTGTAGTTCATCAGGTGACAAAACCAATCCTGACCTGTTGTGAGGCTCATATTGACTCTATGTACCCACTTAATGTAACAGTCATAGAAATGTTAATGTATTTGATTATGACATACAGCCCCAGACCCCAATGAAATGCTGCATTATCTTCTATATATGGACTAAACTACTTATTATAAAAAAATCTGTATTTTGACACCCACCTGTTGGCAAGGTTTTCAGAGAAAGGATGTGAATTTATTTATTTATTTATTTAACATCTTTATTGGACTATAATTGCTTTACAATGGTGTGTTAGTTTCTGCTCTATAACAAAGTGAATCAGCTATACATATGTTCCCGTATCTCTTCCCTCTTGCATCTCCCTCCCTCCCACCCTCCCTATCCCACCCTCCCATCCCACCCCTCTAGGTGGTCACAAACCACCTAGCTGATCTCCCTGTGCTATGCGGCTGCTTCCCACTAGCTATCTATTTTACGTTTGGTAGTGTATATATGTCCATGCCACTCTCCCACTTTGTCACCACTTACCCTTCCCCCTCCCCACATCCTCAAGTCCATGCTCTAGTCTAGTAGGTCTGTGTCTTTATTCCTGTCTTACCCCTAGGTACTTCATGACCTTTTTTTTTTTTTTTCTTAGATTCCATATAGACGTGTTAGCATACGGTATTTGTTTTTCTCTTTCTGACTTACTTCACTCTGTATGATAGACTCTAGGTCCGTCCACCTCACTACAAATAACTCAATTTCGTTTCTTTTTTTTTTTTTTGCGGTACGCGGGCCTCTCACTGTTGTGGCTTCTCCCGTTGCAGAGCACAGGCTCAGCGGCCATGGCTCACGGGCCCAGCCGCTCTGTGGAATGTGGGATCCTCCCGGACCGGGGCACGACCCCGTGTCCCCTGCATCGGCAGGCGGACTCTCAACCACTGCGCCACCAGGTAAGCCCAAGAGCTGCACATATTGTCTCTCCAAACACTATGACAACAGCAGGACATGTCTACACCCTCATTCTGCCCCTTATTTATAATTTTTAACTGCCCCTTATTTAAAATTTAATTTAAATAATTGACATGCTTTTAGCAAGCTATTCCTATCACCTTCTTCCCAGTACTCTATAGGAAGATGGGCATTAGGTTCTGTTCAGATGAAAGCTTTGCCATGAACTAACAACATCTTTAATATATTGGGGACCTGGTCCTCTCCATTACATTACCCACCCTGTGGACGCTAAGGGACTCTCTCAGATGTCAGTATCAGAGGCAGTTAGAGCTGGTTAGATTTTTATTTGGTAGATATGGAATTCCTAGTACAAAATACTAATAGAAAAATATATTCTGTAACATGAATCACAGAGGCAAATTCATGATCCTACTTTGGTTAGTCTATAATATATTGGCATTAATATATTGGTTAGTCTATAATATATTGGCATTAATATGTTGGTTAGTCTATAATATATTGGCATTAATATACTGGTTAGTATATAATATATTGGCAGCATTTTCTCTTCTAAATTTATCTCTTTCATCAACTGCTTTTTCCTAACCTTATAATCACCTAGTTCAAAACAAGCATTAAAAAAACCACTTTGAATAGTGTATCGACATTGGTAACTCACCTTAATTTCTTTTGATAATGAGGCATTGAAATAATGAATACATTCATTCAATAGTAATGGATCTACCATTCATTGAACATGTATTAGGCTAGGAAGCTTTACGTATGTTATTTAGCTTATGTTTACCAACAGTTGTGCTGGTTATATCTGTTAAATAGGTAAAGAAATTAACTTGCTAGTGGATGAAGAGAACTACATCTAAGGAGCAAAGGTGACAACTCACCTAAATCCAAAATATATTTTTTTCCACAAATTCATATTGTCTTTCTTAATACAATTCATAGCACCATGGGAATGCCAAAACTCACCTGGGTAGTGATGAAAAGCAGGCCCATCATCTTTTGCATATGGAGACTACTTCATAAAAATGGTATATAAACAGATGTTATATAAGTAGGGCCATTCCTGGGAATAGGAAAAAATTTTCAGCGTACCATGAAATGGGAATTCTTTTATATTATAGAACATTTTTATATACAAGAAATCAGGTTCAGGTAAATACCCATGATGGGCTTGAATGGGAGGAGTTGACTTGCAAGTTTGTAGCATGATTTATAACTAGTAAATATTTAAACATTTGCTATGTGAATCTCCATCAGTACTCTTCACAAAATAATGGGCATTAAGAATGAAGTCCAGAGATATAAATGAAAAATTTCATAGTTTTTCTCATTTGCTATAATTACAGAATGAATACTTCATTGATAGTAGGAAGAGGAGCCACCTTTAATGAAATTCATATTTCTTAAAAATAAAATTAGTTACATAAAATACTGTGATAGGTTACAAAAGTAAGTAAGAAGAAAATCATATAGTAATGTAAGATTCTACAAACATCGATTATTATGCAGAAGCAAATCGAATGCAAAAGCTTCTTTTTGGTTGGATTTTCTACATGGGTTGGACTGGTTTTATATTCATAAAATGACTGTGTTTGGCCAGGAGAGTGCTATAGGGAGCTTAATTGTCCAAGAGCCCATCTGCTTCTCTTAAATTCATAACTGCATTTGCCCTGAGGCTGTGCTTTCCAGAGTTTTCTCCCAGTCAATCACTGATTGAGCATGGCAGGGATTCTAAGGCATTCCCATTCCTGAGAGACACGAGACTCTCTTGATAGCTGAGTTGGTGTGAAGAGTTCCCAAGGGCCTTTCTGAATTTTACTTAGATTTCATCATACTCCAGGACGCTTCTTCCCCACCTTTCCCCACCTGTTTCCTTCACTTAGGGTCAGACTTATGCACAGTCTGAAAGCTCTCCCAGTCTGACTGGCTCCTTCCCACTGTCTTTCACACAGGTACTTCACTAATGAAGTCCTTGCACCTTTAATCTCATCTTGGTGTCTGCCGTTTGGAGGACCTGGGCTAACAGAGTCCAATTAAGTTCAGAATAGAAGTGCCATTGTCTTTACTATTCAATCTTTGTAGATTTTTTTCAAGAAACTTAAAGATACATTCACGAGGAGGATGCATATGCTGATACTTTTCATTGCCAATTTAGTATGCATTGAATGCCACCAAAAGCTCTATGTGGAAAATTGCTGAAGAGTAATAAACTCTATGCCAAGTATTTCAATGATATTTAGCCCCATTTCTTCAGAATTCAGAGTAGGAATATTCTTCATCAATAATTTCTATTAACTTTTCTGCAATTTTTTCTTCCTCTAATTACTTACAGCTTCTCCCTGAACCAGACTGCCCTCAAAGAAAAATATCAAATGATAAAGTGGTTAGCTCAAAATATTAGTCCACTGCTATTTAATCATGTCTATTCTTAAGCATTTCAAAGACTAGTAATGCCTTCTCCAAACCAATATTTTTACAAAATTGTGAAAGTTGGGAGCATCTGACCAAATGTTCATACAATCAAAGCTTTTTACACATTTTGATTCATATATATTTCTTGTGGAGAAAAATAAGGCTTTGAAAAAGGATAAAAAGTTGCGTGCTAGGGTTAAGTATTTATAATTTTAAATAGTATGGTAATTGTCAATAAGAAGGTTACATTTGTGCAAAAATCTGAAGAAAGTGAAGAGGAGATCACGCTAATAGTTAGCTGTGTAGCAAGAGGGAATCTCAATTTAAAATCTTAGAGACTGAAGCACACCTGTTGCATCTAAGACACAACAAGGAGATCAATGTGGCTAACATGGAATGAGCTGTTCATATGAGGAAATAATGTAAGAAAGAAAATGAAAGGGTTCCTCCGTCATTACTCTTTCTTAGAACTCCATTGCCTTTGGTCTCTGTTGAAAACAAGTTCTGATTTAAACAGAAAGTGTAGCCTCTTGGGGGCTCCGAGCATCCCCGCTTACTTAGTTGTAGGTGTAGCATCCTTACCTCGTGCTATTTGCATTGTCACTGAGTTGCCACATATGGTAGGACCAGTGGAATCCCATGCTCATTGTGCAATGCAAAGGCTATGTGTGCCTGGGGAGGCAAGGAGTGGCAGACATATATGTTGCCTGTATCTCCTTAGCTCATAGGCATAATCCATTGTCCCACTGGACTTCACTTTCAAAACACAAGTCCAAAATAAAATTTTAAAGAATTTCAGGACAGCGACAGCAGAGCATTACGTTAAGCCTGAAGCCCTTCTGAATGTGGGCCCTGTGTGACTGCACAGGTTGTGTGCTCATGAAGCCAGCTCTGATCACAAAGGCTTAAGTATTGAGAAGACACTGAAGTACCACCTCATATGGCTGTCAAGGCTCTACACTACACAAGCCTAGAGTAACTATGAACACATACCCTCAGCATGGACATACATGGAACGTATGGACAGAAGCAAAGAGACCAGTTAGGAAGCAATTTCAGTAATGCAGTGGACAGTGATTGGGCCAGCATAGTGGCAGTGAATAGGTTAAGATATATTAGATTCTAATTACGTTTTAAAGGTAAATCCTGTGGAATTTTCCAAAATATTAGATGTGGGGAGTGAGAAAAAGAAAGAGGGTCAAGGATAAGAAAACTTTGATGTTTTGGGCCTTAGCAACTAAAGGATAAAATTGATGTATTACTGAGATTGGGAAGACTGGGAGAAACAAGTTGGTGCAGACAGGTCAGGAGTTCACTTTTGGACATTGATTTTGAGACGTTTATTAGTTATGTGAAGCAGGAGACTGAGGTTCAGAGATGAGGTCTCAGACGGAAATGAAAGTGGGAGAGTCATCAACCTGTATATACTGCTTAGAGCCATGAGACAAGTGGAAATCACCAAGGGAAAGACGGTGAGTGGAGACAGATTGGTCGATTTTTCTGTGCCTCCATTATCCACTTTATAGGATTCTTCTAAGAGTAAATTAAACTAAGAGTACAAAGCACTAAACTACATACCTGATATACTGCTGAAGCTCAACAATTGTCAGTTTTAAGATGCACTATGCCAGCCGGTATGCCAAGGGCTTTATTTGTCATATTTCTTATTTTAAAAATTTGCTCTGCATACTAGACAGATAAAAAATTCATGTCAAAATATTTATCAAACATTTGTAGATCTAGGCAACCAAACTTAGAAAGGCTGAGTAACTTGCCTCAAGTTCCACAGACAGTAGGGAGTAAAAGCAGGTTGAGGGGATAGAAATAAGAATGCAGTGAGAATATATAATACCTACTGTTAGTAAGATAATAATCACATTTATTTAAATAAGTACATTTAAATAAATTTAATACATTTCAGGAACTTCTTCAGTGTAATTTAAAGGTACTTACTTGAATGAAGCTTTTGATTTTTTTTAACTACAGGGAACCTATGGCTTTGAGGCACAGATCAACAGATATATGGAACTTGCAAAATACTTTTACGAAGTTTTAAAGAGAAAAGATAACTTTAAGCTAGTATTTGATGCAAAGGTAAGGACTCGATTAGTGGGCTTTTTTTGTGAGAGTGAGTTTAAAGTATCTATACTTTCTTTGCTGAGTTTTTGTTTTGTTTTGTTTTGCGGTACACGGGCCTCTCACTGCTGTGGACTCTCAACCACTGCGCCACCAGGGAAGCCCTTTGCTGAGTATTTTTTTTACTTGAATATGTTACCTATCCAATACTTTGAGATAATTTAAAAGTTATATGTAAAAATTATTTTAAATATTTTATCTAAATGCAAAACATTTCGATTTTAAAAACTTTTCCATTTGAGTTCTCTTTCTTACAGGCCGAGGGTCCAAAAGATTAATTTGATGATTATACTCAATTTTTAAATTTTTGAGATGAAACTCTTTGGTTATAATTGCTTTTCTGATTTTGATGGCACTGAATTAAGAGTAATTTAATTGTTCCTAGTTTTTTTCTTGTATGTTAGAGAATGCAGTTGGGTTTCTGGATAGTAGATGACATAAGAAAAAGTGGGCTTTAAATTATATGATAATCCTTGGTTAATCATTATTAAAGTACTAAGTAGATATTAATGAAAAAATGGAGAGTTTTGCTAGTATTCTATCCATCTTCCTCTGCAAGGCCCAGTCAGCCAACCCAATGGCATGCTTTAAGTCATGCTAGTAAGAGTAACTATTAGGAAACAAAGGTGCTTGGTCTTTTTTCTACATTGTCTCCCTCTGATTGTATTATTTCTATTTTTGGTTAGTCTCGCTCAGTCTTAAGTGGAAACTAGAAGTAAAGAAATCTGTTTGTTTTTAATACTGTACATTCTCTGATCATTTATCTGCCTCTCTGAAATGAGCTTTCATAAATTGATTTAAGTAAAGTTCTCTTATACCCCTTTATCTATATAAAAGACATCTAGTCACTGAAGCCAGAACCTTGAATTCATCTTGAAGACCTAGCAAAGATCAATTCTATCTTTTGAAGATTTGGGAAATTTAAACTCTTCTATCTGTACCCGTGGCCACTGCTTCAGTGAAGTCCTCTCCATTCTCTCCTGAATTACTATAACATTCTATTAACTAATATTCTCCTCCCCTCAATTGTTCTCTCCCCTAATTGATTGTCCTGAATGACCTTACTCAAATATAAAATTGGCACTGCCATTAAAATATTTAATATATTTTGAGGAATGGGCATGGGATGGATGGCTGAAGACTGGGCACTCTGTGAGGACACCATTTCCTTTATCTCTGTATTTGGTGCCTGATACATGTATTAGATCCTCAAAAACTATTTTAAAATATATTAAAAGTTATTAAATACTTCTGGGATAATTAAGGAATTAGGTAGGGCTTTAAGGATACTTATAAAATTACTAAAGAATTAGGTAAAACTTTAAGAATACTTGTAAAATTTTAATTTTTTTTTTTTGCGGTACGCGGGCCTCTCACTGTTGTGGCCTCTCCCGTTGCGGAGCACAGGCTCCGGACGCTCAGGCTCAGCGGCCATGGCTCACGGGCCTAGCCGCTCCGCGGCATGTGGGATCTTCCTAGATCGGGGCACGAACCCGTGTCCCCTGCATCGGCAGGTGGACTCTCAACCACTGCGCCACCAGGGAAGCCCTAAAATTTTAATATTTGATTTAGCCTGAGTTCACCAATGTCTGCTTCTGGACTTAAACATATCCCAAAAAGTTTGGAAGAGATCAAGAACTGCAAAAGGTAAGTTTGTGTGTATGGTGTGGTATTTATCATTTTAATATTGCCTTTGAAATAATGTGTCTGGGTTAGTTTGATTGGTTAGTGGAAGGCGGTAATGTGGTCTTAAGCCATTTTTAAAAAATATTTGTATGGAACCAAGCGAAATCTCAACCCACCAGTCATTTTGCAAATTAATCTAGTCATCCTTTATACAATTGAAAAATAATTTTTGAATGCTAATATTCAATCTACTGAGTTTTTTACCCTTTGGTTAATTCATTCATCAGTTAATGCTTGCCATATGTTCCAGAGGATTTAGAGGTATAAAATGAATAAGACAGAATCTGAGTTCTAAGCTAGAAGGCTTAGTGGGGAGAAGATAAGAATAGAAATAATTACAATTTTTATGAGCAATAGAAGATGTACTTGGAGAAGAATTATCACATTTGAAATATTTATCATAAGGTCATCTGAGCAAGAATCTAGGAGAGATTTTATTACAGATCAGTGATCAATACTGAAAAAAATCCAAATAAATGTCATAGCAATGAGAAGATTTAATCTTTACCCTAAGAATGTATATTAAAATAAAGAGAATTGCCACTATTACATGTTATTTAGCTATACATTTACTGTAAGTTTTTAACCTATCTTAAGCATGCATTATATACATACATTTTATAATAGTATCACCACCACTTCTGAGTTGACCAACATCACAACTACTTATCTTAGGCAATGTGATCCGCCCTAGGAGAAGTTGAACATAAACTATCTGATATCAGTGTTTAAGGGCATCAACTTTTTATGTCATCAGAAAATTTCACTGGGCTTATAAGTCTTAAGAGAAAATAGAGAATGTTTTTGGTTTTGTTTTGCTTTTTGATAATACCCCTTGTTTAAATATTTTGTGGTTTGAGGCAAGTATTGAGTGAAGCTCTTAATTTTTTTTCTTAACATGTAAGTGTTACCTTTTACTAGGGTAATTACTACCAGCTGAGAGTTAGCGGAGTACACGTTTACAGAGAGCGAGCTATCTCCTGGACATACACACACTCACTCACCAGAGAGCCGTCCCTCTCAAGAGATCTGCGCATGCTCCTGGATGGAGGGCAAAGGGGAAATATAAAGCAGTTTTTAATAATATTGCAGGCAATAACTAATACCTTTTATTTTATGGTCATGTTGATTAATTAAAATATTAAAGAAGGACATTAAATGAAATGTCTGACCATATAATGACTATATAAGCAAATATATATATATATATATGTATATATATATATGTATGTATATGCCCTGCCATATATAAAAACTTATGGGAAAGTTAAGTAATGGAGAGCATCTGTAGCATTTTAAAGATAAACTGTGCAGGAGTAGAAGTTTTGAGAAGAGGAACACATTCAATAGTTATAGAATGCCCTCCTCTTCCTTTCCGAGTCTCAGTACCACTTTGTCTTATAATAATAACCCAAGGGCGTAATGTGATCTAATGTCACGTGCATGGTATTGTTTTAGGAGCTGTGCAAGACAATTAAACAGATAGAATTTGTCTCTGTAAAATTTACAAAGAAACTATGTTTTGCTGCAAAACAGTGACCTTGTAGAAAAATCCAAGATGTATTGTAATGATTCAAAGAGCGGAAGTTAGAATACCAAAAGATACTACTGCTTTTCCATTTTCTATTTCATTTTACCTCTCCCAGATACTTCTACTTGAATTGCCATATAAATAAAATGTCACACAACCTTCTTTAATGTATTCTAGCACACCTGCATTATTTTGTGAGTTTGGTAATCGTGAATCATGGAGTAACAAGAGCTACAGTATGAATATAGAACGTGCTGCCTTTTCTCTGTACTAAGCTGCTTCTTAAAAATTATCCCTGACAGTTTTAAATTGCCTGCAATTTACTTCAAGCTAATGATAGTTATGTAGCCATCTAGGATGTGGAACAGTATTTACTTGTAAAATTTCCTTTTAATGATATTTGCATTTATACACAGATTGCTCCAAAGATTAAAGCACAAATGATAGAGGAAGGCACAGCCATGCTAAACTACCAGCCTTATGGGGACAAAGTAAATTTGTTTCGAATGGTCTTTTCTAATCCTGCCACAGGACAAACTGATGTTGACTATGTTATTGATGAAATTGAAAGACTTGGGAAAGATTTATGATACTGCAATATGATTTTGAATACCAAAACTAAACACCAACTTTAAAGATTTACTGCTGAAGATAATAAGAAAGGAATATTATAAATGATATTCTTTCTTCAGAACGTTTGATTCTCTTTTATCCTATGTTATACAAGATGAATAAAGAACAGTGGGTCATTGAAGATTGATAGATAGATAGATAATAGATTCAATTTTGTTTATGTATTTGTTGTTTTCATTAATTCAATGAAAGATTATTGAAAATCCATTAACTGTCAGGGACTTTTCTTGGTGTGTTAGAATACGTCAGTAAATAAGAAAGACAAAAATCCTACCTCTTGTAAAGAAAGAAGTTCCATTGTGAACATTTGGTAAGTTAACATATATTTACATGCTTGAATTAGTTGCATAAAGCCTTCCCGAGGTGAAATCATTTTCAGTAACATATGGTAGTGTTCTGTTTCTGTAAAAAATAAGATAATACTTATGATGTTTCTCTATTTCAATAAATCAGATGAACAAAACGTTCTGTATTTTGGAGCAGAGAGTCAGGGAAGAGAATGACAAGGGCTGACATATTTGCCTTTTGATCCCTGCATTTTTATTTAGAAGGAACTGTGGCTTCTACCAAGTTTCTATGCAATGATTTAATTCATTTTTTTCTGCAGTGCCATTTTTAATGTCTCTAAAGGTCAACAACAGTGGCATCGTTTTATAATTCTCCAAAAGTATATTGGCCATAGTTCACAAAATGGAATCAGGTAGCTCCACAGTGATGATAAAATTAGTATTTTTCAGCTCCTTTTTTGAGATAATAGAGTTAACATTGAGCACTTACGGTATGCTAAGAATCTTAACTTGCATGGTTTCATTTATTTCTCTCAATATTACGATTTAAAGTGATTTATTATCCCCATTTCATGAATGAGAAGATGAAGATTTAAAGAATTTAAATACTGTGTCTAACAGCATGCTGCTGGTAAGTAATAAAACCCAAATTTGACGCTAGCCAGGTTTTCTCTCAAGTGTGTATGACAAAGAACCTGCTAAATGCCTTGATGCAATTCACATACACTACTACCAGTCGAGCCATTTGTCAAATCACTTGAGCTATGCAGATCTCTTTCCTCTTCTCTGAAATAGGAATAATAATTGTGCCTATACTGCAGGGATGTTGTTAGAATAAAACAAAGTAATTGTGTTAACTATTTTTTAAAACTTTGAATCACTCTGTATGTGTTAGTTTTATTCTTTCACAATGTGTACATATATCAAATCATCATTATGCACGCTTTAAATATCTTACAATTTTAATTGTCAATTATAATACAATAAAGCTGAAAAAAATTAAAAGTTATTTTCTCAATATAGGAAAAAATCAAATAATTTTGTAACTTCAAAGAGAGCTGAGACCTTAAAAATTATTACATGATGAGAAAAATAAATGGAAATATAGAATTGAATTTAGAGAAGAATACAGAGAGGAAAAGGATTTAATATAGTATATATATATAACTCCTTCTTTGTAGCCCATTAACAATTATTTCCCACCAACAGACAAACGGAAAGGCAGACCCAATAAGAGCTCTGTAGTCTTGGCTGTGTATAGGCTCAGTGCATAATCGTTAGTTTTGCATAATTAATTTTTTATTATGTCAAATAAAGCCAGAGATTTAAAATATTAAAATCTCCAGCACGAAAATTCACAAACCACTTTTGACACATTTGATCCATCACAGCACCTTCTCCATACACTAAACAAATCTTTTGTGTTTCGGTTGCATTTTTACCTTTCTTGAAATAATAAAGCATAATATGCTGAAAATGTTGTTTTTCTTCTCTATTCAATATTAAAATGGCTACACAAAAATTCACCAATTTTGATGTTTTTTTAAAAATGCACACTGATACGACACCTGTCACAATACAGTCTAACAAAATTGTTTTGAATGAAGTTAAAGACAACTAAGCACTACTAGAGCCATTTTATGGAAAAAAAACTCAACGAACTTCTTGGCCAACCCAGTAGCTAGACTAGGTAAAAATGAAGTTCCATAACATTGGTTTTATCTTTATTAATCATTCAGGGTGCAAATATTGTCATGGTTCTTCATTACAGAGGAGATTGTACCCTTCTGTTTTTCAAGCTCTGTTGCATCCATTCAAGTTAAATGTCTGAAAACTTTTATATTTTAGAAATAAAGACACATGAATTGGGATAGAGATTCTTTTCAATTGTTCTTCTACCATATAAATAAGACATTTCATGTCCAAAGTTTTTCTCAGAGGAAACATAAAATTGATTATGCTACAGACTTTGATAGTTTGTGTCTTTGTGAAATACAGGGAAGAGCAGTTTAATTATCTTAGTGCAACATATCCTTTAATAAGAATTACTGCTCTATACGGGAGGGTTTGTTCCAAATGCGATCTGGTTTGTCAGACTTAGAAACATAAATCTGTTTCTTCCCTATGCATTATTCATAAATGCTTATCATTACATAAAGTTTATCACGCACAGATTAAACATTTCCTTTTCAAAAAATATGCCTCAAGTTTCTTTGTCCCTACAGCCACAATTTTAGGTATTGGTTTTATTTCTTAATGAACACTTTGAAATAAGAATATACTAAATCGTAAGAATACTTTAATATATATTGCATAGGTTAGATAAATTAGTTAAAACAGTGCTTTCTTCCAATATCAGTTCTGTGAATTAAGCAAGTATATGTTGTAGAGTTTTGAGAAATCTACAGTCTGCTTTATTCAGCAGGGTCTTGTTAACAACAAGGAACCTAATAAGAATTGTTCTATTTTGAGGTATACAGCATTTTCAATTATTTGGATACCTATCTTACACATTGTTGAAAAATTGTAACATTTAAATAAAGAAAGGATAATACTCATTAACCTGTGTCATCCCCCCACCCTTGAACTTGGATTATTTTTTATTTCATGGCCAGTCAAAATTATTTTAGCCACAGAACACTGTTCCCTTTGCTGTGTTCTCTCAACCAGGGTTCTGACACAAACCTTGTATTACATGAAAGAATGTGTGAGTTTTCTTTCCATAACTTACAGGAATTCTATAAAATGGGCTCCTTTCTTGCTGTTAAGAGACTTAGTTTAACATAAAATTCTTAAAGGGATATTACTAACTTTATCTTTTTCTTTTGAACTTTTTCCAAAGATATGACATATAATAAATAGCATTGGTTTAACCAACAGAGATGACTTCCAGAGAGACTGTGTCTCCTGAACTTAGGGTAGAACAGGGTAGACCAAAAAGTGAAAATAATGTGTTTTTAAATTTTATTTTCAATTCAAAGTGCTAGTATAGAATTGTGCATAACATATAGAGGACACTTGAAACATATAACAACATCCAAAAGGGGTTCTGAAATATTTAGATTCTTACCAGGCAGATACCGTGGAGCAATGATAATCAGAGTTACGTGGAGAATCAGAAATACTTTAAATAAACAGTTTGCTATTGCTGGAGTAGAGTATAAAATTACGGAGTCTGCTTCAAGTAGCTAGAGAATTATGGGTCCTTAAATTTAGCATTTTGACATTGTGAAAACAACTAAAGTGAATGCAATGGGGGTAATAAAATAAAACTTGTATTGATGAGGGGGGAAAAGACATTGATTTTGATGGCAGTTTCAAGGCCTGATTGGAGGAAGAGCAGGCCTTAGAGGCCATTGCAATAATCCAAGAAGAGATAAGAATTTAGCAGTGCAAGGTAATAGGGAATTAAGTTTCGGCAGTAAATTTGCCAACGTGCATTGAGAAGGTAAAAGTCCACAGAGCCTGAAGTTTCTAGCTTGAGAGACAGCTTAGATCTCAGTAGCTCAAGAATCCAAAAGGGAGACCCATATTAGCACAACGTCATTGTCTTATTTAAGACATATTGTCTTATTTGCATATAGAAAACAAGATGAAATGTATGGATTTACAGGGCTTAGCTCTCTGGAAAATATCACACGAGTTATATAGCTACCTGAATATAAAGTAGAGATGTTTCATGACTGAAAAAGCTCCCTTCCATGTAATTAATGTAGCATCATACATTACCTAGAGACTTCATATGTTAATGTAGTCTGAACCAGCAAGAAAGGACCTGGGCAACTCTTTGACAATCCCATGCCTCTCTCTACTTTGTGCTTCGCAATTACGTGTATCCTAGAAATTCTTAGTAAATCTTCATACTGAACAAGATCTCTGAGTCTGATTTGACAATTCAGATCCTTTGTATTAGCTCAATGATTATCTGACCCAGGAGACTGAGAAGAAATGCTTGAAGACCCTGGTCTCAGTTAATTCCTTCACTGTTTCCAGTGCAGCCCTATAGAAGTGGGTCTGCAATGGAGAAAAGTCACAGTGGCACAGGATTGACTCTAAACAGTCTCTCTTTTGCTGAATCATAATTGCTTTATATTCTTGGGGGCTTCAGTTTTTTGTTTGGCATTTGAGCTCAGCTGGTCCCGTAATTACTTTTGAATGAAGGGTCAGGCTTTTTTTTGCTTGTTTGTTTTGTTTTGTTTTCCCTCTAATGTCTGGCTTTCACATTAGTCCTCCATCTAGGACACAACTTTTAATGTTTATTCTGCCCAATCAGCCCCTTGCTCTTCCCCTGGGCTGCCTGCCCAGCCTTCACCAAGAGATGAGGAATACTGGCTCCACCCAGAGGCTATGCCCCACTGTCACCTTTGTTTGCTATATTTCGAACGGTGTCCAACCCTTTCCATCTAAATTGTCCATCTAAATATACCTGTTTTTTCCTAATCTAAACCCCCCCATGGAATGTGGGTAAAAATTCAATAAATATTTTTACAAGAATATTGGAATTTTTCCCATCTCTTGTGAGATTTCTTATGTCTAGGTCCCCATTATAGTTTTCCTTTCACAAATATAAGAATGAATGGGCATTAAATCTTTCTGATCTTCACTCCTACACAGAATGTCTTTTCACATAGAAAAAATAAAAAAAACAACTTTGCAAGACACTTTCTTGATAAAGTGATGACAGTGGCTATGCTGATACATTATGTAAGCTATCTATAGGAATCACAGATACCCCACTAAACCATACCAGCATCCTCTCAAACTAATGAGCCATTTATAAAGAACACTGTCGTGGGACTTCCCTGGTGGCGCAGTGGTTAAGAATCTACCTGCCAATGCAGGGGACATGGGTTCGAGCCCTGGTCCGGGAAAATCCCACATGCCACAGAGCCCCTAAGCCCGTGCACCACAACTACTGAGCCTGCGCTCTAGAGCCCGTAAGCCACAACTACTGAGCCCACGTGCCACAACTACTGAAGCCCGCACACCTAGAGCCTGTGCTCCGCAATAAGAGAAGCCACCACAGTGAGAAGCCCACGCATCGCAACGAAGGGTAGCCCCGGCTCGCCGCAACTAGAGAAGGCCCGTGTGCAACAATGAAGACCCAACACAGCC